AGGGGCTTGCCACCTCCATAGGTTGCAGTTCTGGCTGTGGTGCAGGCATCGCAAGCTTTCCAAAGATAACCGATGCAAAAGCGTGCCGCACCGAAGAATCACATTCCGAGAGCCTGAAAAAGAGGTCCAAAAAACAAGAGCAAAAACAACTAACCCGTGATCGTATCGTGTCCCCTTCTTGTCCCTGCATACTTGCAGTAGAACCAACCCCCCCCCCCCACCACCATGCGCAAAAAACGTACTCCAATCTCAGCCATCACCCAGGCCCGACTTTGGGCGTAGGCTTCCATCCAAGCCGAAGACTTTGAACCCGAAACCGCAGTCTTGGGCTACGACCCGAAAACACTTCACCCCTAAAACCTTCGATCCGCAAGCTTGGGGCGTCGTAAGGACGAGGCTTCGGGCTACCCGCATGTTGGCCGGAGGCGGAACTGTCTGACATGAGACTCGTATGGAAAACCCCAACGAGAACCATCCGGCGCGACGTAGAGGGACATCCCGGCCAGCGCATCCTGTGAGTTTAAGGTTGAGACTTCAACTGGCTTAAGAGACAGGTACAGTCTGCAGCCGCCTCGACCTGAGAGCACAGCGAGTTTTGCGCGGCTCGGGCTTTGGGATAAAGGGCCCTAAGCTTAAACATTCGACCCTTGACCCACGCTGTTTCCGGATTCGGATTCGGGAGCTTGCACATTGAGGGGCCGTGTGCCGTTGTCAGAATGCCGGTTTCGACGGAGGCACCTCCCTACTGTGTAGCAGGCATGCTTGTTGAGCTCATTTCCAGGCCAAGCATTCTTGAAGCTTTTTAGTGTGTCACATAGTGGCATCGCTGAATTCATGCTTCTAGAAACTTCGAAGAATGCATGGAGCCAGCAGACCCAACAAGTCTAGGCCACTGGAATCACCTCTTCAATTGGCGGTCGCGGCCCGAGTTTCGGGTTTCCGCCAATTTCTGCCCGTACTCGGTTTGTGGGCTGCCGGGCCGACCTGTTGTGTTCCGCTAGACGTTGGATTTCAGGGGGAGCTGGAGGCTAGGCTGGAGTGATTCAAGGCTTCTTTGGGCCTCGGCCCATGCAGGGCATTGGAACTTGAGATGATGGTTATGGGGATGAGAGGATGAGCACTGCAATCACGCCACGTCTTAGACACAGGTTCTTTGTAGAGACTACTCCTCTGTCACATTTTTCTGGAACACACCAAGACGCGTTTTGAGGCTCTAGTTTGGCCCATGCTTCAAGCGACAGCTGGCATAGTTTAGGCAGGGACGCAACGCGAGCTGTCGACACCTACGCTTCTAAAAGAAGGGGTGGCTCCGAACCAGGGATGCAGCCACCTGCTTCCCGAGGTGTGGGAGTCCAGCGATGGAAGTGGGCGGGGGCTGAGTGCTTAGAGAATGCGGGTTCTGGTTGTTGAGATACCATTGTAAGGATATGAGTTAGTCATATGTGTCTCGTATTCCCATAACTTGAACGAAGCTGCGAATTGCGTAGCAAAGCCCATCTTGGTAGGTCACAGACACGAGCAAGTACCAACGTACTCCACGACCTCTTATGCATGTCTAGGTCAAGAGTCCATGGTAGGGTCATGAGCAGTAACAAAGCAGGGTGTCCTAATTCTCTCAGCTGTCTGACCTGGTGCTGCTCAGGTTCACATGGGAGCGGGCTGAGGAAGCAGAAGCTCAGCAATGCCAGCAAAAGCTGAAGAGCCAGCAGCAGCAGCAACAGCAGCAGCAGCAGCAGTTTCAGCAACAACAGCAACAGCAGCAGCAGTTTCAACAACAGCAGCAACAGCAGCAGCAATTTCAGCAGCAGCAGCAGCAGCAGCAAGAGTTGCAACAGCGCGTGCTGCAACAGCAGGCATTGCAGCGCCAGCAAGCTTGGGCGCAGCAGTACCAGCAGCAATACCGATGGCACCCTGCCCAGGGCTCGATGAACTTGCATTCACAAATGGGCTGCAATGGTTGTCACACTCTGGCCAGTTCTTGGCCGCACCAGCAGATGTGGTACAACTACCCTGTCATGGCTGTGCGGTATGCGCCGCGCGCTGAGCGCGCCCCCGGCATTGCCGGCTGTTGGGTCGGAACTAGCAGGTTGTCAGGTTGTTGCACCATCCACCGCACATCCTGTCTGGGGATCCTCTTCTCTAGAGCCACGGCTATGGGCTTCTTGTCTTCGGGGCTTAAATGGCAGCAAACCCAGAACTACAAAGATGCCTAATATAGGGGCTTAGATTGTGAATAATTACCTACACTATTTGGGGGTTCCTTATTGCAAGTACAGTATAGCATCATGGCCCCAAAACCTTATTCCAACTATGAAGGGCCCCTATGTCATGTTCCATTTCATGGCGAAGCTACATGGCGCTTGCTCCCATTTGGATTCCCAGACTCCTGCTTCCGTAGGTGACTACAGCCAGAAAGAAGCCGGGGTTCCCATGATTCCTCTTTGCCTTAGCGACGGCGCGTTGGACAGCAGGGGTGGCATCGTCACGACGGGTTATAGACCAGGTGTTTGCATCAACCCCTAGCCCCGAGACCCACAGACCCTTCCGAAACCTCAAACCCAACACTCGAAAACCCCCGAAAGACCCGAAGCCCCAGCCCTACACCTCAAAGCCTAACCGCCCGCCCTGTTGAAGTCCTCACTTTCGGAGGCCCTACTGAAACTGAGCCGTGCAGATTCCGCTCCGGGCCACAGGACGAAGAACTTTCGAAGGTTTGGGGCTGCGTAATTTCTGGTGGAGGGGGAGAGGGCATTAGGGGATGTGAATCAGGCTTTCGTAGGGTGTTGATAGGGATATCAAGATAAGGTTCTAGGCCATGGGGGGCTGCAGCGTGGGGTTCCTTTGCAGGGTTTCTAGGTTTGCTGTGTGGCTTTACGGAGGTTTGAGGTTCAGGGGTGTCGGGGTGCGTGGGCCAAAACTGCTCTTGTTTGTTGTGTGGGCACCTGAGAGAGCTCCGAGCCTATCATCCGGGATTTGTGGCCACACCCCCTAACGGGAATAGTCAGAAGTGTGGCGCTCTAGCAAGGTAGGTTCCAAGCCTAACCAAGATGCTCTTCGTCTATGCGGCACCCAGACGTAGAACCGTGCTGCCACCTCGGGCCTTGGGGTTTTACACCGCAAAGATGGCAATTGGAGTGTAGTTCACTTCAACGCTGACTGTTGTTTGTAGTCTTGGCTTTGAGACAGGAAGATCGAACTTACAACTGCTTGTGATGCTCCCGTGCTTTTCGAGAGCCTGCTCCGGCATTCCCATTGCACCTGGCCCACTGCGTTTTAACCTCCGGAGGGGTGCCGTAACCCAAGTCTGAGAGACCGGGACTCCTTTCAATGGCAGCGAAAGACGTGAAAAAGGAGATCAAGGGTGCCCGGCCCTGTCCTGGTCCCATTGGGCTGGCACCGAGCTTCGCACGAAGCCTTGTCGGAGCGCTGGACAGGAAGGTCCTTCGCCTTGATTTCGGCTCCAGTGATCCAGTGGAAGGTTCAATGAATTTCAATGATCCCCCACTCAAAGAGACCCTGCGAGCTTTAGTCTCCTTGGCACATCCCCTCCATTAATAAGGCCGCTGGACTCAATGTCTCATGACGCTCTTAAAGGGTCCTACAGGAAAGATGCCAAGTTTTGTTGCATTTTAGCCCGTAGGGTGCGGGTTGATTTCCAGGAGCTGTAGGAGGTCGGCTGCCGGGATTCTGGAGATTACTGCGCTCTTGGGCTTTCGAAGCCAGGGCATCATTGAGCTAGGGCTTGCGTAACGCTCTAGCTTCATGCTAGTTCTGTGAAGTTACAACTTTAGAATTTTAGAATTTTGGGGCGACCGTCATGCGTTCCGCCGGGGCCTGTGCCGATGACTCATCAATGGCTGTGCGATCGCCCCTGCTGTTGTGGAGGCTGAACGCTGTAAGACTGATATTCTGGTCAGCTTCAAACACCTTCCCCCGCTTCCCTTCGCTGCGTGCCAAAACAGGCGACGAAATGAAGCATGGACTCCCTTCGTTGCGTTGTTTTAAGCTGATGCACTAAAGCCCCTGAGGCTCATGTGAGCCTCAAGCATAATTTCTCGTTGTCCAGCACAAGATCTTCACCCTCAGCTTCTGTGAAGCCGAACATTGATTGGGTTCGCGATCGTCTGATGCTCAAAAACTCCGTATTGCATGAGTTCTTCATCTCAGCCCTGAACCAGTTCGTTGGCTTCTCCTGGAGTGTCACGATGCCCGGGTGATGCATTTTACGCCTGGCTCGTTTCCGGGATCCTTTGCCGAGACTGTATCGCTGTCGTCATGGGTCAGGGACAGGAATGCAGGATTCGGGCTGGCGTGACGAGGTGCGCATCTGCCGGATGTGGCAAGTTATCGGAACGCTGCTTCTGCTTGCTTCCGTCGGGGGCCCAAGCCTGGCAAAGACGGGTATTCTGGCTGTGGCTCGGACACCCGGGACGCGGAGTCTCTGCAGTTGACAGCTTCGTCCTCAACCTGAAGAAAGGGGCAGAGCGGCCAGCTTGAGGCAACTGGGGATCAGGAGCTTCCCTGCCTGGCGACTCGCAAAATGCAGGAGGCAAAAAAAAAATCCTGTCTTGCACTCATAAAATAAGACCCGCATGATTGTGATCCCCGGCACAATCGGGGTTGCCAACCTGGCTCTGCATCGTCGGCTTCCGGGGTTCTGGAGATGAACGAACTCCTGAGGTTTGAATGCAAGGTGGTTTTTGGTTCAGAGCTTTCGGGTTCTGGATTCTGGGACTTCGGAATATTTCGGATGTTGGATCTTGACGAGCACCCGTTTGCTTTAGACTTCTATACGGGTTGAGTTTGCTTGGCTCCTTCTCCCTGATCGCCTGGAGCTCGATACCGAAACGCCGGCTGCCAGCAATCCCAAAGCCCCCCACGCTGGACTCTGCACCACGCCAACCTGTGTCAGCTTGCGACGTGCGACGGGAGCTAAGTTGACATCATAGGCCCGATGTTGTTGGGAACTTTGACCGTAAAGCTGGTGGGTTGGAGTTCAGGATAATGGAACTGGATGGTCAGATTCAACTACTGCCGGACCTGTGCGGAATGCACCTGATCCCGCCGCGACGATGGCTGGAAGGTGGCGCAGGGGGAGAGACGCTGCGCAGGACTGTAAAGAGTATAGAAAGTGTTGTTAGATTTTGCTGTTCCTGCCGATAGCGTCTTTGTTCACCTTATTCCAGCAATGTCAACGTATACACGAGTGAACCCAACACAGACTAGGCTGCGAATCAAGTGATCAACCGAGCAAGCCGTGCTGAGACTAGCAAGTAGGTCTGAACCCTAGATCACCCCACCCCTTCCTGACAGCATGGAACCTCCAGCCTTGGAGGCCGCACAGACAGCCCCCACGCTGTGAACCCAGATCTCGTTCTCATCCCTCCAAGCTTAAAAGGCGTGACAGGCGCAACAGATCCGGCAAGCACAGCAACATTTCGTTTATTCTTCGTGAAGTTCTAGGGTTGTCTCGGTGATCACTTATCTGGTCTGGTATCATCATCGGGTGTTTTGTCCTGTCCTTTGCTGTCCTAACTTACCTGTCCATGTTTAGCTTACCCTGCGGTCTCGGTGTTAACTTGCCCGATCTTCCCTCATTCTGACTGTTCGTCTTGTTGTTATCACTATTTGCATCTGCTGCCTGACAAGAGAGTGTTTTTCTGTGTGTGCGTGTGATTGTGTATCTGTGTGTATGCATCCTCAAGACGAAGACAAGACGTCGCGCTATATTTCAGGTTTTTTGCCGCGTCCTTGAAGCTTCATCTTCGTCTCGACTGGCTTGTCTTCTGAGTACTACCTTGTTATAACACTGTAGTATATTTATGGAATTCCTTCGCTACTTTGTTCAACCATGCTTTTCTGATGTATTTTGCCAAATCCTGTTGCACGGTCTGATGTAAGCAGGGATGCATCTGACACGGGTTCGGGGGAAGTGGTGGGGATATTCGGTGGTTTGGGACCTCTGGAGTCCTCAGATGTCACGCGTCTTGGCTTCAGGGTTTAGCCGTACCGTTAATTGAGAGCGCATCGGGCTCCGAACTTTTGAGCCCCCAACGCCTCGAGAAGGAGCAGCCAGAGCAGGCCTTTCCGCTGGCGCATCTTGCAGAGGCCTCGTCGGCCGTTGGGTTGCAGCGGCTCGTCGTCGTAGTGTTTGCTGTGATGGCCACATTGCCCTTGAGGACCCTATATTGTTCAGATGTCTCCAACTACTACCAGTCATCAGGTGATGATAGCGATGAGAATACTCCTGCTTGGAGCTCCGCTCTTGGTTCCGAGCCAGGTGCAAGGCCAGAGGGCATGCCAGAGGCATGCAGGCGGATACGTCGCAGACGGCGAAGGCTTCCCAGCTCAATAGAAGAACTTGCACTTTGTGCTTTTCCAGCTCTCCAAGTCAACATTCCGAACACGATCATGTTCAAGATGCTGCAGCTCGGAGTTTAGATCGTGGGGTGCGGGATGTAGAGCCAAAGGCTTTGAGGTTCGAGGTCATGGTTCTGCTTCAACCAGCCTAAACCTTGCTCCTAACAAGAGTATGGGGCTTCTTTGCTTCGTGACACTTGCCAGAGAGTGGATGACTGTTCACTTAGGATTCCGGATGCTCATGTTGGCGTGTCCTCTCCACAAGTAGGAGACATAACTGTCGAGGGCACGGGTATGGAGGAGATTCCGTGGCCTCATTCTTATCATAAGATCCCAAAAATTCGAATCTTCATCAGCTCGGAATCCGCTTCATTCCAAAACCACATCAAGTCCGGCGACCTCATCCCTTGCACCCTTTTGCCAACACATCCCTGACCCCTGGCCGAAACACTGTACACATTGAGATACACCTGACGGCTCAAACGCGGAACCGAACAGCGCAAGGAGCTGTCGACACCGACGAGACTAAACCGGAGGTGCAGGACGGTGGTGCTGGTCGAATGCTTCTCTTCGCAACGCATGGGCCCTGGGCTGCGGTCTTGTTTTATTTGGGATGCCAGGCTCTCTGATTCTTAGCGCTGCAGGGTTTCGGGTCCTTCGAATCGAAGCCAAAACCTTCATAGGGCGACTCGGGCTCCCCAAACGAAGCCGAAACCTGAGCGAGGACTCACCTGCGCATGCGCAGCCTGCCCACTCCGGCCGCTCGGCAACGTGCGGAGATCAGAGAATCGAAGCATGTTTTTGCCTCTACCCTCAAACTCCAAGCCCCGAGCCCTGAGTATCCGCTGAAAAAAGCACTACACCCTCATAGGCCCCAGCGGCAGCGAGAGCCGGTGGCGGCGCACTGCTGCCTCGGCTGAGGCCGAAACCAGGCCGCTTGCTTTTGTGGCCTTGCAAGACGTGGGGGAGCTTTGGGAGCTACATCCTGAATGTAGAAAATCCCTCCTTGCCTTATAGATCCCATAAAAACAGAAAGAAAGAGACACGAGAAGTCAGAAGGAACTAATTAGACACGCCTCAGGAGCCTGACCCCGAGCTCCTTTGTCCTCTTGCGCTCTGGCCTCCACGTTCCCGTCCTGGGCCTCGGCACGCGGCAGCTCAAAAGCGCAGAGTGCCGAGAGGCCGCGAGAGCTGGGCCCTGGGTGCTGATCCATGAGGGCTAAAAACAGGGTGCTTGAGGATTTGGGGGTTTGGGATTCGGGGGCTTTTAGGGTTTAAGGGCTTAGGGCTCCGGGGCCTCGGGATTTGGAGAACGCTTTCTGTGTTGGTGATCCTTTCGTTGCTTCTCGGGATCAAGAGGTTTATGGGTTCGGGGTAATAGACCCTAAAGGTTTTAGGGCAGTAGCTTGTAGAGGCAGAGGCAACGGGTGTGCGTCTTTGGAGTTTACCTAGGCTTTCTGTGTCGATTGTTGATGATTGCCAAAACCCATTCAAGCCAAACACCTGGAGCGAGCACCCTGGCTTCAGTTGGATGAATATTCTTCAGGCTACCTGAAGTTGGCAGGGCTGATGCACTAATTCAAGAACATGAAGATCTCCTCGAAGCAGTCATCGGGTCTATTTCGAGGCGGTCCGAATGGCGTTGCGCTCCGGCTACCGACTCATCGACACAGCGCCAGGCTTTGGCAACGAGGAGGTCGCTTCGGAGTGGAGGGTTTCGGCCTTCGCAGTTTTGGGCATGGGACGAGAAGTCATAACACCTTGTAACGTAGCGGCAGCTCTTCAACCGCTGTTGGGACCTAGCGCAACAGCTGTCCTTGAGTTGGAAGGCATCCAGCCCTGAGCTTCCAAGAACAAGGGGCCCCTAGCCTTGGACTATGAAGATCCTTTTTTGTCAGCGCCTCAAGAGATAGACCGCTGAGTTTCCAACAGTCGCATGCTCCGCGGTCGATGACATTTAGGATCTAGGGTTTCGGGCAGCCTTTGCTCCTTGCGGGATGAAAGGTTGTTGCTTTCAAGCTTCTTCAGATCACCAGGCCAGGGTCCACGAAGGCCCACTGTAATCTAGCTTTAGAACCATCGGGTTGCCCACTGGCGGTCAGACCCTTGATCCCAGGGGCGCAGCCTTGATCGTGTGCGGTCTGTGTTTGATCCATGTGATGTTGTATGAAGTTGCGGCGATCCTGTGAAGCCTACACCCGACTTCCACAAGCCGGCTGCCTGTCAGACATTGCGTCCCCTAGCATTTCTTCGAACTGGCTAAGCCTCCACAGTAAGACCATCCATGGCGAGGAGATTGCCAATGGGATTCGCGCTGCTGGTCTTCGGCGGGAGGATGTTAGAGACTGAGCTGGGATTGCTGTAGATAGGAAGCAATTCATCTTCCCCCGATGCCTTCGTAATTAGTCCCAAGGTTATTTGTGCTGCCCGATATCCCAGGCCTTCGGGCCTTCGACGTGGATTGAGAGATTTATGTCGCCATGCTGCGCTCTCTTACGCTTGTCGTAGGGTGCATTTACCGGCTACCTGGGTCCATGACTGACATTCCCAGTGTTGCCCGGGGTGTCATGACCTTCAATTTCTGTCATTGCCTTAAGCTAATGCGCGTAAACACAAGAAAACACTCGAAGCGATGGAAACACGAAGAACGAGGTTTTCCTCGTCACGAAGCTTTCGCCGGCCGAGTGACTCTTCGGCAATTCTAAGCCGCAGAAGCCTTCTTTCCGTTAATTTCGTGTGGTGATCACACGGCAGGGTAGTTTCAGTTTTTTGTGTTGGCCGTGTTCTGTTCTACAGTGTCTTCTTTCTCAGTGTGTCTGTCTGTCTGTCTGCCCGTTTGTGTCCGTGTCTGTGTCTGTGTGTGTGTGTAGTTGCCTATCCGTGGTTTTGTCCTACGGGTGTTGAAAGGACGACTGGTTAACTCTCGCCGCGACAGAGTTCGACCTGTCAACTTAGATCATTTTTTGACCCTGAAAACCTTGAAGCCAATTTCGCTTGTCGGTTATTCATACAACTCGCAACTGGTTCAACATCGCCACAAACACACGCCGGGTCAACGAGCTTTGTCCAACAGAACTCCGGCTGGACCCAAGGCACGGCGACGCCGAGGAAGTTGAGGAGGCGCTGCGCGCGTCCCTCCGGCGACTCGGGACTGGCTACATCGTGCCTGGGTCGCGCAGTACTCTCAGAGACTTCAGAGAGAGACCGTTGTTAAGCAATGCTCGCGCAAGCGATAGATAGCAGTATTCAGGACCGCATCTGAGGGATCTGGTATGATGCAACATGAAGAACGGCCCGGATTGAGTTTGGAGCTTCTGGGTGTTGTTAGTCGGGGTCTCAGATTCATTGAAGCCCCAGTCGTGTGGATTTTTGATCCGGATTAGGTTTAAGTTTTGTCACGACATCGTAGGAAGCCGGAGCCAGACTGGGCGTTCTGACAAGAGTTTGGTTTTGTCCGTTTGTCCACTGAAGAGTTCTGGAGTGAATGCGAGCTTCTGAACCAGTTCTCTCACTACGATGAGCCATGGGTATCAAGTATCCCCAGGTTGAAGCCTTGCACAAAACTCGCTCCAATAGGCTTTGACCCGAAACCCGAATGCGAAGCCTAATTAAACTGGCCCTACCCTGCCATCTCGATTCACACATCCGATTCCGCCAAGGACCTCTTTCTCATTCAGAGCCCTCAGGGAGGAAGTGTCATCTGGACCTGGGACGCTGTGCTCGCCATGAGGGACAGGCGAGCTGTAGCCCGAACGACTGCAACGTGCAAAAGACAAATCTTAGGTGCTCGGCCGCCGCCTTCGAGTCCATGGTCTTTTGTTGAATGCAAGGAATGCTGAGCATATGGTTCTTATGGTTGCACTCTTCACGCTTCGTTCCTTCGCCTCTGAAGTAGTGATGGTTCGTTTTTTCGCTATAGCACTATGCAGCCATACAAACTGTCCCCTGTGTTGCAGTTATCATAAATGCTCATTTTGCCGTTGTTATTTGTTGATGCCTGCCAGCAGCGTGATGCGCCTTCCTTCGTCTCCTTAAGGAGTGTGTTCAATGCACATTTTGCAGGCACTGTTATCGTCAGTTAGCATGTCCTGACACTTGGTACAACAAGTTTCATTTCTTCTGAGGCTGCAAATTGCTTACTCAAAAAACGCCCCTAGCGTCCTCTTGCCTCACCACTGCCTGCAGGCAATTGCTAGCAGAAGAAGTATCGCGGCTGTTAGCATGCTAGGCCTTTGGAATTGTGGGTCGCTGATAGCCGTGTCGTTGTAGAGATGCTCAAGTTTTGAGAGGGACGACCTTTCGACGAGTATGAGTTGAGTTGAGATTCAGAAGTTTGTGCTGTCCAAGCCGCGAGCATCCTTCAGAGAGCTGCCAGACACATCAGACGCGTTTCAAAACACTTCAACCCCAAAAGTTGCTGGACAGGGGCTTGGCGCGAGCAGCAGGCGTTTGCAGCCCAGCATAGGTCACTGCGTAGGTCTCCGAAGAGAAGGGACAAAGGGGTAGGGCCCTTTGGGCTCATCGGATGTATGAGGACGGTTCTTTAAATTAGTACTTTTCGGGTTCTGTTCTTCGGATGTGGGGCTTGTGGTCGTGGGTACAGGAATCATAGGCATTGGAAGCAAGGTCTTGGACGGGATCAGGAGGGTTTATCAGGGGCAATGTGGTACGGAATCATAACGAGATCTTCAGAGGATTGGCTTTTCGGTTTTAGAATCACAACCGTTAGTGGTTATTTCAAGGTTGAAGGTTTGGCGTGTAGCGGCAGAAAAGACCTACCGCCTCGGGAGTTCCTTTCGTGGTGCGTCCTTGTAGCTTCGAACCTCAAGCAGCTTGCATCCCCACCCATACTGTAGCTACTAAAACACCCAAAAACACCAGAAGCCCCATTAGAATCCTCGTAGAGCCAGGGCAGGGTAGACCGAAAGAGCACGTTGCAGTCCAGGCCCTACTGAGCCCTACTGCACGCTACTGCACGATTCCAGGTAGGCTCCCAGGAGCCCCACTGTGCTCAAAGGTGCAAAGCCCGAAGCCCCTTCGCTTGTAAAGGGTGAGTTTGAGCACTGAAGCCTACAGACGCTTGTTCCTTCCACAAGTAGAACAGTGCTCTACAGTCGGCGAAAACTCTCAGTTCCAAGGCATCTAAGAATTTCAATCAAACGAAACGCTTGATTTGGCGGGTTTGTCACATTTAGGGGTTGGGGAGGCTGACAAGTGACTGAGTCCGTGAGAGAGAGGGGTTGGGGAGGTGCGTGGTCTCAAAAAGAAGAACCCGCATAGTGATACCGCCCCACCGATCCCTGAGCCCGAAATCAATCCTTCAGGTAATTTCTCTGCGGCCCACCTGGCACGGCTTGCCGCAACCGGGCGAGAGCTGCCAGAGGTTCTGGGACTGCAAGAAGATCCAGTTACCGGGGTCCATGTTGAGGGTGTTTACTTAAGGTGGTGGCAGTGGTGGCTTTTCGGGTCCTTCGAGCCAGGAACCTGAAACTCTGATGTCGGGGGTCGAGCAGCCTATGGTTCCACACTTCTACAGGGGCACGCGCAAGAGAACAAGTTGCCTGCTTCAGTGTTCGCACAAAGGTTCGGTGGACTTTCGTGGAAATTGTACGAAGTGTTTGATTTAGCACGAGAGGAGCTACTCACTTTGCAGGTTTGGGATTGCATTTTCAAGTCAATCACGAAAGCCTCCTCCTGTTTTTCGTGCTGTGTGCGGCTGCTGCGGCCTTCGGTGGAGATGCCTTGGACCTCAGTTTTTCCTGTCGAGCTACCAGATGGATTGCCTAAGGCCCAGGTGACTAGGGGAGTGTAGGGAAAATGGGCCGCGCCCATGGAGCCCACACCCAGTGTGTGGGAAGGCGACTGCGCACGCATTCCCAGTTTACACTTGCAGCCTTGCTTTGCACTACATTCCTCTCGACACAGTGCGCCGTGCCGCCCATGAATCGAATCATGTTGGTCACCGGTGCCAGCAAAGGTTTAGGTGCCGAAGTGTCAAAGCACTTCGCGCAGTCTGGTTGGAGAGTTGCAGCTCTGGCCAGAGATCGAAAGGCACTCGACAGAGTCGTATCCGATGTTGCTGATCCTGACCGGCTCTTGCCCATAAAGTGCGACATTAGCGATTCAGTTTCTGTGGGTCTTGCCATTGCCTCAGCCTGCGAGCATTTCGGCGGCACGCCCACTGCCTTGATCAACAACGCAGCCGTCTATGCCAAGAAGCCGTTCCATGAGATGGATCTTGATGACATCAACTCCCTGGTTGACACCAATCTCAAAGGAGCAATGTATGTGACCCGAGCCGTGCTGCCCGGAATGCTGGAAGGTGGCCGCGGGCGGATTATTTTTGTCAACTCGGTGGCTGGGCTGCCAACCTGGACCATCCCAGGCGAGTCTCTTTATTGTGCCACAAAGCATGGCCTAAGCGGCTTCGCAGATTCTTTGGCCCATGAGCTGAAGGGCTCAGGCGTGCAAGTGACAAGCATTCATCCTGGGGGGATTGACACGCCGCTTCAAGTTGCAGCTGGCACTCCTGAGGACGTGCGTCAAAAGTTTCTCAAGTCTGCAGACGTGGTCTCATGCATACAGCATGTGCTGGAATCGGACCCCCATGTGCTGTACAAACGGATCGAAGTGTTTGGCAGCTCGTTTTGCCACTGATCAGTGGGCAGAGAAGGGACATATTTGTGTCGACGTGGCACACGAAGCATGTTCTTTGCGCTTCGGCGGTTAGGAAAGAAGTGCGTGGATGACAGAGCCGATCTCATATCGCACCCCGCGTTTTGCGTAAAGACCAAACTTTAACCCCGGATGTCCAACAACCTCCACCCTCACCCCTCCCAGGCGAGGTAGCCTTGAACCGCTCAAGGTGCTACAGGTGGAGCTACACCTGGCTCAGCAGCAACAAGAGCTCACAGCCTACTGTGCGGGCAACGGCATCGCTGTCATGGTGGGATGGCCTCAAACTGCCGGGTAGATGCGGGTAGATCCCTTAAACGGAGTCGGTAGTTGGAGCTGCAAGGACAGGCTGCATTGAGCATGTTGTGCAGTTTTTTGGGGGATCGGGAATTGCTACGAGAGAGCATGCTTTGAGGCCGGGCCTGGCACCCCGAAGCCTGGGCTGCCAGACCCCTTCATACATCCTCTGCGTCCCGGAACTCCACAAAACCTAAGCCTTCAAGACTCCCAAGACCAACCCCAGACCTTTGCAGAGCTCCCGTAAAGACCACGAAGAGCCGAAGCGAAGGAGGGCCCCCCTCCCACGAAAAAAAGAGGTCCTCAGCCTGAATACAGGCCGCCTCGCCCCTTGCACGTGGCCAGCTGCTTGGTAAGCTCGAACGGGGCTCAAGAAGGGTTGGATTTTTAACGCCCCTGCCTGGAGTTAAGAGCATTCGAAGGGCTTTTGCGCTTTTTTTCGGTGCTTTACGGTTGCAGAGTTTCGTGGTTTTTCCCGGTTTCCGGGCTTGGCTCGAGGACTTCGCCGTCTTGAAGCTTCAGGGCTTGAGTCTCCGGGCGTGTTCGGGTGTAGGGGCTTTGGAGTCATGGGGCTTTGGGGTTGCAGGATTTTGGTGGTTTATTGGTTTTATCAAGCGTTTCTCACATGAGAGTCACTGAGAGAACCCTTGAGCAAAAAAGGGTTGCTTCACGCGTCACGGGTGTTCCGGAAGCTGGCTGGGACTTGGTAATGTCGGGTTCGCAAGACTACCACGGAAAAAGTCCAGCAGGGACAGACACGTTCCGCACATCTTCCGTGGGGGTGCAACGAATGGTGGCTGCTTAGACAATGGATTAGTGCTTACGGCTCAGCTTTTTGTGGCTTGCGGGCGTCGTTGGTGCAGAGCCTTCATAGAATCGCCATTTCCCGATTCGTCATGGTCCTTAATTTGGGTGTGTGATGGCTGTTTTCTGTAGGTTTGGGGAGACGGGATGAGTCCAGTCAACCCAGTGTAAAACGTCCAGTCTTGATTTTTCAACCCTGCTCGAAAATAGAAGGGGAGACATACATCCTCAAGATTTGCTGACCCAGTGAAAGGATGCGACACAACTCGAAGATGGACTCCAGAGAGTTTGTCTGGCCCGGATTTACTAAGTTGAGTTTGGCCCAGCTGGAGGCTTTGCCGCCCCTCCCACGGCAGCTTTCCAGATGCATGGCGAAGCTTAGCAGGCCTGTGCCCCAACAGAGTTCAACGAAACTAGCATGGAACCTGAAACGGGCCCAGGCTGGACTAGTGTCCTTCGGGGAAGGTGCTCTCGGGGGTTGAGGTTACCTTGAAGCAACCGCAGGGACCCCGAGAAGATATGGAGCATAGACATGGCCAGAAAAACCATTACGCCTGACCCGACCACGAACAGCTCCACAGCTAGACAAGTTCTGGTCCCACTCTTCGTTTATGATAGGCTGTATGAGGCCAATGCTACGGGAAAGGTTGGAGAATTGTCGCGCAACTGCAAGTACGGGAGCAAGAGAAACCGCAGAAAGGCTCGCCGTGGAATGAGGACACGTGTAGAGAGAGAGTGTTCAAAGCATTCTCGGAACCACAAAGTCGAAAGGCTTACAAACGTCCACGGCTGACTCTTCGAGGCTAGTACCGAAAGAAGGTTTCCCGGGCCCTGCGGTACAACACTGCGGAGAGCTGCTTCCAAGCATGGTCGGAGACCAAACCCTCGCAGCTGCAAACAAAGGCTTGAACGATTTTCTCATGCATGCATGCGGGTACAACGGGACTTTCTGATACGTGTTCCTTCGGAAAACGGCAACAAGAATGCTTCACGTTTCCTCGACATTACACATAACAAGCTGCAGAGAACTGCCGTTGTCACACCGTCCGCTGAATTTCTATCTTGGAAATGTACAACTCTATCGCAGATCTTCGGTCTACTACAATTCGAATGTACGACAATGTACGACGTGTTGTCAAGCAACCTGAACCCGAAAGGATTGAACCCTCAGCCCCCAAACCATGGATGCCTACATAAACCTGCTCTAAGTGTTAAGCCAGGCATGGCAGCCAAGAAAGGCCGGAGCCAAGCGGAGATCGCGGTGCGCTGGTGCCTTCAGAGAGGCTATCTGAACTTTTTGACAACAGACTTGGGTGTACTATACTGGGGATATCCCCTTGCAGTCCGTATTCTACTGTGCTGTAACATCCCCAAACCCTGAACTACTTATGAGGGCGCCTGCATCAAGATTTTAGGTGTTCCAGGTGCTGTTAGAAAAGGATCTGTCAGTTTACGGTCTTGTTGTCCGAAACTTCCAACTAAAATGTCGGGATCGTGGTTTAGGGCTTTGGCACGGGGTTGAGGGCTTCGGGTTTTAGCAGTCAGACCTCTTGAGTTGGCGGAGTTGGTTAAGGATCTTGGAACGACCGTTCAGGAATCTTGGGCTTACGGATGTGGGGATATGGACTATGGGTGCAGGGCTTGGGGATTCGGAGTCAATCTTCGAGTTTGGGTTCATGGTCGGCATTTCTGTCCTCATCACCACGCAACCGCAAAACTTTTGCAAAGCAGACATTGCATGCTTTTTTCGTGTTGGAAGCATGCAGGTTTTCCAACGCTTGAAATGTTTCCTAACATTTTTGAAAGCACTTGAGCGAGCCTTGAGTGTGTGCCTGAAGTCAACCATGAACCATTGAGCTCCAAAGCGCTGAACACCGGAACACGCGAAACCAAAACGAGATTAGGACGATGCCTGAAGGCTTGTCGTGCGATCGGTCTGTCATTCCCCCACGTGAAGGTTGCCCAATTCGAGAAGTCTGCTCGACAATTCGCAACACGTCTTGCTTACAATGTGCCCGGCATCACCTGTTTTCGGGTCCTTGCTGCGGAAAATCCACCCCGGCCGGCTTTTGTCGCTTCGGGGCTGGGAGATTTGGGCATGCAGGTGATGTGCACGTCGTCTTTGCGTAAGATTAGAGTGTCGTTACGCACCGTTGCCGACGTGAGGCCGCAAACCCTCTGGACTGCAAGCTTGAAGTGGCATCCCCACGAGTTCTAGGCCACGAACTGTTCGAACGCCCCACTGGCCCGATTTTGAGTTCCCGTTCTTTGAGGCTACATCGCTGTGCCGAAGAGCAAGTCCCAGGGCCACGTGGAGGCCAACGCGGCCTTCGGCTTCGAACTGACCTCTGCGGACGCTGGGACCGACCTTCGCGAGAGTTTTGTTGGGGCTTCAGGCGTTAAGGGCGTCGGGAGGTGACGCGGGTCAGCTCAAGTTCCGGGGCTTGATCGGGGATATGCTGACTTCTGGTTTGAGGTTTCCTATGTGTCTAGGTCCGACACTAAGTGTTAGCAGATTGACAACATATGTATCATTGCAAGTCAGCCCGCCTCAGTTTTGGGACGTTTTCCTCCTACTTGTACTTTTTCAAGAGAGCGCGAACACGAAACTACGTTCAAAAAACGAGCCTTCCCTAACCAAGGCTCGTTTTGAGTGATTTCGGTGTTGCTGGGGCCGATTTTCTAGAAAGGTGTTTAGGAATATAACGGTTTTGACGTTACACTGTCATTCTTCCCGTGGTCTTTACCATCTGGCTCCCAGGAATTAAGGTTTGTACCAGTGTAGAGCTCAAGTTCAATATGTGCAGCTGGAAGGTCGTCGGGAGTCGAGCGAACCTCCCACAACCGCACATGGAACCTGAAACGGGTTCCAGAATTCTAGAGCCTACTGTAAAGGAAGCTAGGGTTTAGGGCTTGTGAGGGTTGAGGGTTGAGAGGGTTGATGTTGGGGGCCGAAGGATTGGAGATGAAGGCTCGAGACCCATTTGCACAAGACTCCCTGTATAGGCTGTGCTTGTTTTTGAACCGTAAAGGCTTTGAAGAGAGGTTGTAGTAACAAAAAACGTGGCATTCAGGATTGCACATGCCTTCGTGTGAAGCTGGTGGGGTTCAGAGAAGAAGAGCCCGGAGACCCTGGTCTTCGAAACCAAACCAGCGCACCTGAAGCTTTTGCAAGATCTCCCTCTTTGAATCCGGACATCCCAAGCCTCTGGCCGCAAACCGAAACTGCTAGATATCAAACCCTCAAACCTTATACCCAAAGCAACGCCCCACACCTAGGTTCGGAGGTATATAAACCGCTCGTGTTCCGTAAAGGAGCCTGGAAGCCCAGAGCCCTGGTGACCAAGCACTTCCATGGTAGTTCGAACATCCGCATTAATCGAAAACCAGAGAGAACGTGAACCGCGAAAACTGTAGGAGATGACCGCGCTTCGGAGCGTGGATTGCCACTGCTCCGTGAGCTCGTCAGCAAAATGCCTGGACTGTCTTGCGGCTTCCTGGGTTTGATAGATTTCCGACTTTGGATGGTGCAGAAAATGTAAACATTCACTTTCAAGGTCGAAAATTCGGAGGAATGAGCTTTAAGTCTTCACGGCTTGGCAATTGAGGGAAACGGTGCAGCAGGAATCATGAGGTTCGGAGTTCAGAGCAAGTCTTTGGGTTTGTTGAAGCCGGCCTGGCAATCTGCCTTGATCGAGCCCAACTGAAGTGCAACACTGACATGTATTTGACTTGAATGGTTGGGAAGAGCGTCGTGTGCCGCAAGACGTAAAATTTAACTCAGCAGGTAGGCTTTCGAAAGCACAGACGCGACCTTCCATCGAAACGGGACAGGTTTCAGCATCTTCACTACCACATACTCTCCCAGATTTTACTTTGGCAGAACGTCTCATGCTACATTGATTGTAGAAACCATCATGAGTACTCCGTCAACAGGAGCTCTCCTGGGAGCAGGCTGTTGCAGAGCACTCGGAGGCAGGGGGTTGAGTTTTACCCTGGGCGCTCGAGTGCGGAATTTCAGGCGGCGGCATTGAATGTGGATATGCTAAGGGTAGAAGATGCACCGACTCCAAGGTTTGTTCAAGGGTTTAGGGCACTGCAAGGAGTGCCCTTGAGGTTGCATGGTAGGTCGTAGGTTACTTTCCCAGTTGTTCATATTCTGATTGCCGGGCCTCGAACTGACTAATTTCTTATGTGGTTGCAAAACTCAAAACGACGGTTTCCCATCACACTCCGGGGTTCGCGTCCCAGCAGGTGAGCGAAGGCGATGTCGGAGAGGACAGACCCCGACGTCGGCGGCGGCGCCGGCGCAAAGGGAAGGGGCTCCTTAGGCTGCAGTCATGGCATCGGGTTGCCGATCCAGGAGGGCACGTTCTTCTCAATGCGATGCTGGACGGAATGTTTCATGTCTTCGGGTATAGGCGGAGGAAGCTCCGAGTTTCTAGTTAAAAGCCTAAGGGCTTTGGAGGAAACCAGCGCAGTCGCGAGTGGCGCCGTGTGCGGGTTTGCGTTAGAGCCTTGAGAGTTGAGGCATAGAACTTCCAGCTGCAGCAATGACTGAGGAAAGGAAAGAGCGGCAAAGAAGGCAAGGGCAAGGGAGGGCGTGGACCTCCGGCCGGTACGGCCGCGCAGCGGGCGGCCAACACCCTTTTCGGCCTGAGCTGACAAAGACAAACTGCACGACCTCAAGGGGGGGTTCGAGGATGTACACACTGCATGGTTTGAGGTGCAACTGTCCGGGGGGCTTCACTCCGACCAGGCTCGTTACTGTTGTTAGCACAAGTCCGGTGGCCTTAAACAAAAAATCCGTGATCCAAGTGGTCACCGGTCGTGTGGTTATTGTAGTGTCACGCTACACTTTCTCGAAGCCCGAATTGTGTGCCCTTGTTCTTGCCGCACAGGCACCCCATGGCATCGAAATTACAGTTTTGCCGACGTGTGTTCTGTTGGAACACACTCCCTACAGTCCGTGACAGCCACTTCCAAGGCTTGAGTTTTGGGGCTGCAGATTTATGCTACATGATCAAGGCTTGACCGGTTCGAGCCGTTTGGGCGAAGGACCGCGGCTGGGATCCAAGTTTGAGGAGTTGGGGAGAAGCCTTGATTGAGAGGCTTACGAAGCTCAAGCACAGAGCCCTTTACCGTAACACTCGATTGTGTTCTATTATGTACGCCCTGCAAGGCAAGCATGTGAAGGCTGGAGTCTTGACAACATTAGGCAGCTGGTAATCCAAACACTTTCACGGACGCATAGCTTGAATTCAACAGTTGCGCCCGCTGAGACTTTGGCTCCAGCCATATAGAGCTGAACCTCTCCTGCACAGCGCAAGCCCTTGCAAACGTTGGAAGTGCTGTGCGAGCAACGGGCGTCGTGACAAACCCTTTCATACAACGTAAACCCCGGAATCAAGACTGGGACCCACGTAAACCCAACATGCCCTGAACCTCAAAGTCAACAGCAACATTACAGTAATCTCCCAACTGCTATCCCGCCCAAGAGGCTTGAAACTTTAGAGGCCCGTAAACGGCAAGACTTACGATCGGGAAACCTTTATTGCTCGAAACCTTTACTAAAGCCCCGAGACCTATTCAAAAAACGAGGCAACACTAATCGCGTGCCCCGGGGTAACTTGAATCTTTTGATAACTGAGACCGATAATGCTGAATTTTTTGCACACGATCAAAAGCAAAAGAGTCTCGCGAGCTTAAAGCCACCTCTACTCTCGTGGCTTGCGCCGAGCTCCAGCAATGATGGGTGCCAGGCACCAGAATCGGTTCAGGATAGGCTGACTTTTGTGCGGTTCAGTGTCACATGAGGCAGGATTGGGATCCATATTCTGTTGGGGGGTGTTTTTCAACTGTCGCTGTTTATGGTGCGCTGAGAGTCCCGGCATTTTGGTTGCGTACAGTCGACGAGCGGTTTCTATGCACCACCCGAAACTCTGCAACTGTTCCGCACACCCGGCAGGTACTGTGTAGCTGTCGGTGAAGTCAGATCCCAATGCAAATAGACGGGCTGAGCAATGCATTCGAGGTTGAAGGTTCCGTGATCTGGGCTCTCTACTGTTGCAAGTTTGTCAGACGCGCTAGTGCCTCTAGTAAGCAGTACTATGAAAGTGTTGGCAAAAGCTGTTACTTCGAAAATGGTTTAAGTTGCGTAAAGTAACTCGTTGCAGGATGCACCGCACAGGCCCCAGCCCAAACTCTTACTCCTGGCACGAACATGCGACTCCGACGCTTCGTGGACCCTTACTTAATGAGATTCTCTTGCTGAGAGAGTCCCAACATTCTCATTATGATCCATACAAACATGGGGCTGTTAGGGCGTGATTCAGGCATTTACTTTATCGACCCTTCCTATGCATGAAGCCTCCATCGGGACTTCCTTCCAAATCCAAATGTCTTTCGAAACCATGAAACTGAAGATCTGAAGCCCAGGCGCTTTCAAAGCATTGCATGGACCCGGAAGCCAACCAAACCAGGCGGCTCCTGGGCGCCGCAGGCGCTGTCTTCGTTATGGAGAAGCGCAGGCCATTGCCAACCAAGAGCTTTTTTCAGGAGCACGTCATGGCCTCCCCGCCTGAGAACACGAAGCCCAAGCACTTCAGAGCGGCTGACCTTGAAGAGTTTCAGACTTCCTGGGCATGAGACAACACGGGACAAGCAGAATGAAGTGGGACATGATGATGAATGCTAAATGATGGTGAGATTGAGATGGTTGTTGGAGTGCTACCGGATCACACATGTGGTTGTTGGAATGTCCAAGAGAGCGTCTCTTTGCACCAGCAGTCATTGCGTTCTCCCCGAGGGGCTGAATGCGTCCGTGCACCCTGGGCACGACAAGTTCTGTTGCTTGCTGTAGGCTGTTAGCAGTATGGTTGTCCCGGGCACTCGCTTGGTAATGATAAGCGGATAATTACTGCACTTCTCCCGTTGTTCGCGTCTTCACAGCGTAACAGAGGCAGAATGTAGACGCAGTAGACCGTGGTGTTCTCAGACCTCAGCCTGGCAAGTCAATGCGGCATGCCTTGCGAACCAGAGCTGTCCGCAAATGCCGAGAAGCTGGCGTCGCCCTTTGCGCCCCTTCTTTCCTGAGCTCGCCTGCGGCTCTGTCAGGCAGTTTCTTGGCTGCTCTCCGAATGCCAAGGCGGGACGGCGAAGCTTTCAGAATAGAGCGATGGAAAAAGGGAACATCGTGTTGACATACACTCAACCTGTTCTATGCAAGTTTCCGCGCATGGATGGAAAGCCTAAACCCTCCGTGACCAGAGGCGCCGCCGTCATTTTCCACGCGTTTGGAGCAGGGCTCTGAGAGCTCGCCGTTTAGGACTCCAGATTTGAGGGTGAGCTGTCGGGGAAGGGCTTACTTGTTCCTTATATGAGCAGGGACGTGAGAAATCAGGGACCCTGAAAAAGCTGAGGAGAGAGACCGTGTGCAAATGACACGCAAACACATAACAATAACGCAGATCAAATACATACATACATACATCCAGATATGTTAATACACATAAACACACACACACACACACGCACATATATATATATATATATATATATACATATATATATATATATATGCAGGCATACAGACAGACGTGCAGACGTACAAACATACAAGCATACATATCATAGCAGACTTACATAAAGCAACACAACATCTACAGTCATGCATACAACTTTGGAACCTTCAGCCTCAGACTGTGCAGCCATCCCAGCATTCTGACCGAATTCGGCACCCTGAGCCCACATGGCTCACTCGGACGTGGAATTTGCCGCGCGCTGAGGCGGGATACTGCAACTTTGCAGGGCCAACTGCCCAAGAAGGTGGGATCCAAAGAGGAAATAAGCCACAAGTAGCTTTACAGTCTCTGATTTTCTCAGTCTGCCCTGTCTTGCCAAGAGGTTCGCTTTCTGGGCAGACCCGTGCTTCGGGCCCAAAGCACGAAAATCGAACTCACATTGTAAGAGTCTTCTGCACATGTTGTACGGGAAGCTTGGTTGAGCAGCGTCTACCGAAAATCTTGTCACATCCGGAGCTGGTTTTTAGAGTCAAGGAGACTCTGAAGCTGAGCTGCGCTATGTTAGGTGCATCGTCTTCCTTCAAGCTCGGGCCTTCAGGTTCTGTCTTCCTTAACCTACCAAAACTTACATTTTTGTAGGGTCCCTATAAATTCCATATTAGGGTTTATAATAAGAACCTACAAAAATCTAGGGTTCTGGTAGGTTAAGGTTGGCTTGAACAGAGAGGTTCTGGAGGACTTGGAGCTGGCCAAGGTCTTCCAGAAGGTCCAGGCCCCCTCGGTTTCGCACCTTCCGTGAAGTCGTCTTCTCCTTACGGATAGGCCCCATATAGTAGTTCCTCTTTGTGGTTTTCTATTTAGGATCCTATGAGAGAAATCCCAAAAAGGAACTATAGACGAAACCTCCGCCCACCCGTTGGCCAAACTTCCTGCGCAGCCGAAAAAGATGTAAACCCGGACCCCGGAATATCAGTCCCAAAAGCCTTGAATACGCTACGTCACGGTTCGGTTGACTGCAGCTCTAGACTAGAGCGGTTTCAGAAACCCTGAGACCAAAATCAGAGGAGCTGGTGAGGCTCGTCGACGACCTGTCTGCGCAGGACCTTCCGCTTGAGGCTCGGCAGTATGGGTTCAGGGTGCTTGACAGCCGTAAGGGAACTGTAGAAGGTCAACCGCAAGACCTTGATATAGATTGTTGGCGTTGATCTGTCTACAAACAACCAGGGCACCCAGTCTGGGTTGGCGCTTCGTCTCGCTTTGCTGCAGTTGCTGCTGTTAATGCATTGCTGAGGTTGCCTTTGGGGCGTAATTGTTTTAAAGGCCGAAGCTCAGCCAGGCTGTGGGCCAACTTTTTTGGCTTTGTTGCTCTGCTGTGCTCGCGCGTGATACTCGCACAAGTGTAAGGGTTGCAGATAGGAAAGAGCAGCCTATAAGAGGGCCGGCTCCTGCACAGTGGAATGAGCTTTGTGCCAACGAATTCGAACAATGTTCCGATGGCAGCGGCTGCAAAACCACAATCAAATCCACAACGATCATCACTTGTAGGCCTATGGCATCGCCAGGCGCAGTTTAAAGCATGCTGGACAGGTGCAGAGCGCGAAGCGCGACTCGGCGAGGCCATTCACATTGGACAAAAACACCATCTTCAGCACAGAGTGGGCTTCTGGCAAGCTCGAGAACAGAGTTTCGAGATTCTGCATCCGCCCTCAGCGGCTCTACCCCGGCATGGAGCCGATGGTTCGGAGACCCTTTCTACCATACATATCCCCGTTTTTGCAACGGAGCCGCAAAGCAGGTTGGCGTACCGAGACTTTACGGAGGCCCTGGACACCCTCAGCATCTCCGCCCGAGCCCAAGGCAGCGACGGTCGAAACGTCGAGCGACCACCCAGACAAAATGCCTAAGCAACGAAAGCTCAACCCTTAAGCAACGAGCCAGCAAGCTGAGCCCCAATTTCGCTGATTTCCGTTTGCAAGGGTTTTGGGAAGGATCTGAATTTCAAGACACTGAGGTCCTCGGACCGGGGGCACGGCCGCTGGCAAGCACGACGCTTCGCTAATTTGAGGGGCGTAACAGAAGAAGCGGAACTGTGATGGAACAGCAGTTGTACGGGCGAGAAGAGTAGCGGTGAGCGAGAAAGAA